CAGGATGTAAGAGTTTTTTAAATACATAAAGTGGCTTTTTTACTGCCTAACTATTTATTGTTAAGGTCAAGATCTAGTAAATAAAAGGAGCCTACAGAATTCTCAAATTTGAGAAATAAATTCCTTTAATGAAGCTTTATAAGTATAGCTTGGTAAAATAAAGTGTTTCGGGGCATAATTTTTAGGTAAAGAAGACGAAAAATCATATCATAAACTGTCATTTTCATTGAAAAATTAAGAAAATCAGTCATGAATATGGGAGTTTTTTTCCATATCAGACAAATGTATCCAGATTGCCTACAGTCTCTCAGAAAACAGTTATTTGTATGTTCTTAGCCTCTTCTTTTAAATAATATTAAATTAAATATATTTTTCGGGATTACTTTTCACATGATTTCAAATTGAATTCCAGAAAAATACTTTACTTTCTACATAATTCTATTACAGTCGTAAAGTACGGGAAAAATAAAGTTTAATTTGATTATGACGTCATAATGGATCTAGCATCAAAAAGGCAGTCTAAAATCATTAACTAGATCTTGACCTTAAGACTATCTTCGTTTAAAACGCTTACTGTCAAGGACAAACAAGCCTACGTTTTATGTCAATACACAACATTTCATTCTCTACTGACATAACTCGTACATATAAGATGGCAATGGCCAAAGTACGGGAAACTTGATTTGAATATTCATAATATTTCATGCTACATGTAGTTTGGTTTTCGGATTGGGCTCCGGCAAACTAATTTATACTCACACTCATTTATTCAAATTCTTGTATTATTCCATGCTATCCAAGACAAAGACAAATTGAAGCATGTACAATAAAGAAATTTAGACTTTAAACTTTTTCTCTGAAATAATCAGCTAATTCCACCATAAAATAGAAAAAGACACACTAGAATCAAAAAAGGTACCTTTTTTGTAGAAATCTTAACAATATATAAAAATGAAACACCGTCTTTTACTTCATTAAAACTGAATTAATTTTCTTATCAGCGCTTGCGTATTTGTGAAGCTAGATATAAGAGTTTGGTTTGTCAATATGTATGAGTTTTGTATAGAAGGGGGTGATCCTGTTATACAAGAAAGAAAGATAGAGGTACTGGGCATTTTTTTTTTTGCAAAAGTTTTATATCGAAACTAGAGGTACTGTGAGCGGTGAGCTCACAAAATAATACCATCCTCCGCTCCCATAAAAGTATAATAAAAAAGACCATTTTTTACTATGGGAAACCCAAATACCCAGGTAGCATGACGTTGGTAAATGGTTGTACAGTTGGCCGATGGTTGGCGTTGGCTAGGCAACGTTGGACCAATGTTACCATGTCAATCTTTTCTTTAGTAGCCAACCATGTTGGGATTCTTACGTTTGCCCAACGTTGGTCCAACATTAAGCAAATCCTTTTTGCTATATTTTCTAAGGAAGTTGGGATTCTAAGTTGGCCCAGCGTTGACCCAACGTTTGTAATGCAACCTTAACAAACTTGATTATTTAATCTGGTAACAGTATGTTTGGGCAGTGTTAGCATGCGTTTTCTCTACATTGCTCCAACGTTGTCCCATCGTCGTACTGCGAACTATAGGACGATGTGCACATAAATTGGTAGTATTACGTTGGGCCATTGTTGGTCCAATGTTTGCTAAGCCATTAAAAAGATGCATGGTTATTTAAGCTGGTAACAGTATGTTGGTCCAGCGTTGGCCCAATGTTAGCATGAACATGGTAACTGTGTGCTGGGAATGTAATACTGGCCAAACCGAGGTGCATTTCGGTTTCATTAAAATTTTATTATCAAAAACTGGCTGTTAATTTTTAATTACTCATCGAATTTTGGTTTAAATTGAAATGAAAAAAATTCTACCAGAACCCAAGTTATGAAAAATAGCAATAAAATCATTATTCACGATTATAGTAATGTACGAAAACTGCAAGTAGTCAAGTTTAATTCCACACAATAAATAGAGTTATAGATTCTATATTTAGCATCTTGAAACTAAAGTGTTGTGTTTAAGAACACCAGATAATTAGGTCAGTGGTGAAATTCACTTGCTCAGCAGGTGACTGGCCGGTTTACTAGGAGACGAGTATCTTAATCAAATCTTGCAAACTCAGAGCGGTCACTTTCTTATCACGCCCCGCACTGGAACAAAGCATACTTTCTTACTCAAAAAAGAGAAAATGAATTATTTTAGCCCTAGAAATGTAAGTAAAATTGTTATGTGTGATTGATCGAATTGTATGCTTTGTTAAAACTTAACTTACGCATAATATAAAAATTATTAAAGCTATTAGAAAAATAACACTTGTTTCAAAATGTTCATGTATATTTACTAGTTATCTGTTTGTAAGAAAATACTTTATTTAATGATATGGTATTTTTAACATTCATAGGAACTGGAGAAAAAATCCTCTGTGTCATATGGCCTTTGATGCACAAGTATTTTCCTTAAAGACATGGATTTTAGAACAAAGAAACGACAATCACATGGACAGGAAAAAGGAGTTGATAATTCAAATGTGATATGGACAGGAGAAAATTAATTTACATTCCCACATTCTACAAGTTTGAAATAGTGGATTCCTATACTAGAGAAATTTAGAAGTGATTATTATTAATAATGTGGAATATACTTGAAAAAACATTTGAACTATCCCTTTCCTCCGCTGATTGCATTCAATAATTAAGATTCCTTAATGAAAGTGACATGAATACTCTAAAACATAAGTAAGAGGAACAAGTTGATTTTCTAAAATTGTTTCAATTCATTGTATGGTAATGATGGAAATTGAAACAAATAGAGGAATTGTGTTGTACTTGTATGATTGAAAGCCAACCATTTGCTAGTAAGTTGAATGCGTGTCCAACATTGGTCCGATGTTTGCGATATGATTACTATATAGGCCTCTACATGTACCTTTACAACGTTGACCCAACGTAGGCCTTTCGGTTACAATGCGACATACATCATTCGCCCAATGCTGGCCCTACAATTACATGATACATTACTATGTTGGGCCTACATTGCGCCAACATGTTGGGCCACCAAAGGGCCACAGTGCACAGAGACATTGCGCCAACATTGTTTGCCAACGTTGGGCCAACAAAGTGTTTTACGTTGGACCAACGTTGTCCATACGTATGCATGCTATCTGGGTATCTGTCCGATCAAAACATAAAGTAGTAGGTGCTTAATTGCACTGAAGATTATGAGAAAGTACTTGTATCATTAAATTTTATTCAGTGATATGGGAGGAATTGAGGATAAGAAATGGGTCAATGTTTTGCTATTAGAATCCTGATATATGAGTCTAATCAGAAAGTAAATTAGGAGGTAACAGTGGTACTGCATGATAAAGATTCTATGAAAGTATCAATAAATTTAATTCAGTAGTGTGGGAGGATTTATGCAAACGATGTGGTTACACCAGCTTCTATAGAAATAATTGAAGTGTCCATATTATTTGGTAGATCAGATGAATTGAATTTCTAAGTCAGTCAATAGATCGAATGCGATCCTCAAATTGAAAACTTTTACTGGTGACGGTCGAAAAATTAGGGAAAAAATAAATTGGGGACTTTTCAATTCCACAGTCTAATGAAAAAGTTTAGGAAAACAAGCAAATGGTCGATCTCAGAAAACCTACAAATAATACAGACCTGTAAGCAAAGCATTAAACAGGGACATGCAGAAATTCCATGTGCTTAAGAGGATATTTATATTTAGATATAATTAGAATTTGAAGAACACCCTGAGCCTATAAAATTACAGCCGCGGGCAAAAGAGTACGCCGATACCCCGACGTTTATTATGCGTAATATATAGGAAAACATCAGATATACTGAACGGATTTTTGAAAAATAAAATACAATACAATTGGATCAAATGGGCGTTGTGCTCCTTTCCTTATACTTTTTAACATTTTTATAATTTCATATGCTTCCATAGATATCACTTTTTAACAATAATGATTTTTCTCAGGTAGGAATTAAACAGGATTAACCCTAAAAATATATTTCTATGATATTTCATTATTAGCTCAGTGTTTCCTGCGAGGCAGTGAATGACAACTGAAAGTGAATGAAACGTTATAAGTGAATCCTGTTGCAAACCTTTGTCACTTACAATTGCGAGGATAGTCAATATTCAGGTTTGTTTTATTTATTTTAACTATTTATTGAATCAGTGTAGTCAATGCTTATATTCAAAATTATCGTATATATAAATTCAAACACTGTGATTTTTTTTTTTTGAAAAAGCTGACACTACCAAACCATAGTTGAATAGATTTAAAAATAGTCATCAACTTCTTTCTACATATATGTACATATACTATCTTCTGATGATGTCGATTCATTTAGAATAAGCTTTCAACCTCTAAAAATGTTCTCTTTATTGTTAGTTTCAGTTGTCGCTGAAAAAATTGCAAGTGAATGGGAAAAAACAGACCAAAAAAAAAACAAAAAAAACATGACAAGCCATAAATGGTGATTAAAGAATAATTCAACGACATATATATAGTGAGTTGTTTGTTACATTATATCTAAATCATCTGACGGACAAAAATTAAATTTCTTGTTAAATACATATAAATATGATGATTCTTGGTTTGTTTTGGGATTAAGTATCATCAAATACATAAAGCGGATAAATATCTCACACGATTCTCATCTCATCAACGTAAGACTTGTATTATATTATAATAAGTAAACGATAATTTCAAGATTAATTTTCTGTTTGCACATATTACATCTTATATTGATGTTTATAACTTCTTTTAAGTTCAGGTAATTCTTTGCTTCGCTGCAAGGTAAAAGCTATTACTGTAACTGTAACAAAAAATAATAAATTACAACTTTGAACTACTCCAAACTAACCTTAGAGGAGGAAACAACGATGTTAAACAAGTAAGAAAAACAATGACAACACAATCAATTTTAGACATAAAACTTTTATAAAAGGATTTTTTTCATAATTTTATCTCTTCGGGGATTGTTAAAGGTCTTCGTAAGTGTTAAATCTATCATGGTCTTCCAGCTTTGCATAGGGGGAGGTAATCCTGTAAAAAATTGAAACAAATTAAATATAGTTTATCAGTGTTATCATGTGCTATGTTTTTTAATTCACAAGTGAATTTAACAATGTATACCTTTCGTCCTCCCTAGGTTGATCTGAAAATAACAGAAAGCAAAACATATATTTTTAAAAAACTGTTTCATATATTTACTAATACCTTTCATTTTTTTATGATTAATAGTATTTATAAATTGTAATATTATTGACGATTGACCGTGTTAGTGAATTTGAAAGCTGACTTCGCATTTGTCAATGGTGTAGATCATTTAACAGGTCTTGGCGATTTTTAGATAAGGAAGAAAAGAACAATAACTAAGAATTGTAACAAATAGACTTCATAATTAACTTAATGTTTTTCTGACCGATCAGAAAACAGCATTTGTACTACCCACCACAAAACCAAATAGAAACAATAAGTACACATGGTTTTACATTTTTCTTAAAGAGAATGTTTGACACAAAACCTTTAGAAATTAGATGAATAGTATGGAATAAGGTATTCATCTCAGAAAAGAACAACACATTATTATATGTAATAAGGTGCAGTCAATAAGGATTAAAATAAAACCTTCTCATAATATTGTAAAATTAAATGTTGATGTTTTATTCACATTGTTGGTATTGAAGAGTGTTCAAACGTAACTCTTAAAACAAGGCAAAGTAGACCTGTTCATGTTCCGGATTTAGGCATGTTGAATGCATGTTGTATGTACTATTAACTGAAAATGGGAAGGTGCTTAACTCCGCCAGTAGAGTAAAATGAAGTAATGAAGACAAATGCTTTAATCAACATACAATGTATACTTGCAACATGCAATGCATACCAGATTTGAAAAAACGGAGAGAAGGTCATGTTAATTTCCTATTCATGACGTTGAAAAAAATATTCTGGGTCTCAGGTAAAAATATTAATATCTTTCATATTAGTTTCAAAAGTAATGTCATAAGCTTAATGCTTAAAGACAGGATCGCAGCCTTATAAGGTCGTTTTTTTAAATTTATTTTCTTTTCATACTAAATTTGAGCCTTCAAAATTCAAATGAGAAATCGTTCAGCTGTATTTTTCCTAAATGTTCATTGAATTTACTACATCTTTTGCTATAAAAGTCATTTGAGTAAATTTTTTTTAAAAGAACGTGTTTTCTCTATTTTAGTTGGTTTAAATCAGCCGTTATCTGATTGGTCAGAAAGATGAACTGTCTAAATATGTTCACCTATACCTCCAATATGGACAGTTGGAAGTTCGTAAGAATTATTTTCGAATCTTTGTATTTCCGTCCATTTATCTGTAAAGAAGTAAATATATTTAAACATATTATCTTACAAACTTTGGTTCAATTAAAAAATCAATCAGCTAATAAAAATCAACCTCTTTCACTCCTTTTTGAAAACATTACGTTGACTTCAAACATAAAAATGTGTACTCACTCTGATTTTTTCTCCGAATAAAAAAGTGTAGAAAAATTCCGGAGAAGACAATAAAAAGAGAAGCAACAACGCATATAATGATAGTTATGTAGTAAGAGTTACATGTGTCAGTCTTCCTCTGTGTCTGTAAATATTAAGTGACACGTAAATATTAAGTGACACTGACATTAAATAAATGGAAGCTTTAGTACTTTTTGTACGTAATCAAAACTTGTGCTTCTTTTTATAAAATTGACAAGATCGGGGAGATGTTAAATTTTATATATATGTGCACTAAATCTGGAGGAGTGAACATATTTTGGGTAAATCAACAATTGTATCAGCTGGCTATATATGTACACTTTAATACACTGTAAGGAAAATTTTGGCCCCAAAGTAACCCTGTATGCGGTATCCTTTTTTTTGGGGGGGGGGGGAGGCAAAACCATGAAATAACATATTTATTTTCCATGTCTGTAAAAAGTCTTATTTAATTAAAATAGATGCAGCTTTGACAGGTAGATTTAAAATACATGTATATATACCCCTCAAACTGATACATTACATGTATATCAATTAACATGACACGTAACTGTTTGCTATATCTTTCTGTTGCCACGGACAAGAACGACATCCTGTAATTTGATAACAAGCGTCATGCAGCTGCCGACTACATTTCTGTTGAAGGCAAGGAGCAATACATGTATATGAACAACATGGCAGATAAATGATGTAACATGTATACCATTCGCTATTTACAATTAAAAACTTACAATTAGAAAAAAAATCATTTTCTCAATTTTGAAAGAAACCCATATATCCGCGTCGTTACCTTTTTGGCAATACTTTTATTTAATTTTAAGTTAGTGTCTTTTTCAGTCAAGTAATAAGTAAAAAACGAGATGGCTAGAGAAAATATTTCACAGAGAAAAATAAAGTTATTTCACTGTTATTAATCTATAGGTTTGTTTATTTTTATTGGTCTTAAACAATATAAAACACATACGTTTGTTAGTAATTGTTCCATGGGTCATATAGCATGAAATATATGGAGATAACGAACAGTATTCAAGCTCAAAGGTCCATTAAACAATACAAAATAGGAGCAGAGCAAACACGGACCTTCAAACATCAGAGGTTGGATCAGGTGCCATGGAGGAGTGAGCATCCCCTGCCGACCGGTCCCACCCGCTGTGTGCTCCTTGTCATGATCGGGAAATAACGGAAAAATCCGTCGACAATTCAGTGTGTAAATAATGGCCTAACAATTAGTATGAAAAACGTCAGTCAGCATTTGACTCAATGATAAATTATATTTGCTGACAAGGTCATTGTATCGACCATAGAACTTACGAAATGATGACTTTAAACGAGACAGCTGATATTCTTGTTTCATCAACTTGTTTGTCAATAATTTGCCTCGTTTTAGAAATTGTACATACGTAGAGTATGCTCTTGCATATCGAATCAACTGAGAGATATATATACCCCGTATGCAGGTGATGAAGGTATATTGCTGCATAAGTAAGGGAAGTTGACGATTGAAAAGTTAAAGTCATCACGTTTATCATAAAGCTTGGTTGTTAGATTACCATTAACGTCTTTTTTCAAGTGAAATATCCAAATATGAAACAGATGTGTCAGACTCTGTGGTATCTTTTATCTCAAGCTCACCAGGATATATCTTATCGACATAAGAATGGAAATAGCCATTGTTAATTGACAATACATATAAATCACCTGGGCACATAGAGTGGAGAAAAGCAGAATCTGTATGGTATTGAAAAGTTTAAAAGAAGTTTAGTGTTGCCACTCTAACCCCCCCCCCCCCGATGGGAGAATAGGGAGGGAGCATGATTTGAACAAACGTCAAACTACTAGCTTCCGCATTGCCTAAAGAATTTCAAAGATATTGGACTATATATTCCGATGTAAAACTTCGATTTCCTATTGTGACCCCACTCGACCTCTCGCGGTTTGACCGAAAGGATTTGCACAAAGTTGAATCTACACTACCTGACGATGTTTCCATGTAAATTTGGCTTTGATTTCTTGAGAAGATTTTAAAGAATTTCCTTATGTGTTCCTTCGTAGATCTTTGATCGCCCATTTTGGCCTCAGGGCGCATGATTTGAAAAAAAAAAAACACCCTGCATTTTCACTACCTTAGGACGTAAGCATATAAAAAGGACTAATCGTGGCTGTTCTTCACCAGAATTTTCTTGAAGATTCTTCCCATATATTCCTATGTAAAACTTTCATTGCCCATTGTGGTCCCACCCTACCATGATTTGAACAAAAATGAATTTACACTAACTGAGAATGTTTCCTTGAAAATATGACTAATAATGTAGTAACTGTTGTTCAAAACAACAATTTTACAGATTATTCATATATGTTCTTATGTAAATCTACACTACCTGAGATTGTTTCAATATTTGATTAATCATGGCCTTGCTGTTCTTAAGAAGATTTTTAAAGATTCTACCTATATATTCCTATGTAAAATTTAATCGCCTATTGTGGCCTCGCCCTAGCCCCTTTGGTCATGATTTAAACAAATGTGAATCTAAACTATGTAATGAAGTTTTCACAAAAGTTGCAGCTTTTCCTTCACAGTGCATATTGAAAAGAAGATTTTAAAAAGATGTCATTAAATTTTCACTAATTTTAAATTATCTCCCTTTGAAAGAGGGTATAACCCTATATTTGAACAAACAAGAATCCCCTTCACCAAAGGATGCTTTGTGTCAAGTTGGTTAAAATTGGCCCAGTGGTTCTTGAGAAATCGAAAATGTTAAAAGTTTACAGACAAATATTTACATCCACTTCATATTAATTCCTTTATTTCTTATAAAAACCATTGCCGTTAATCAGTCAGTAAACAACACTAAACAGGCCACATGCACAGATTTCTTAAGCAACGACTGTTCCATCAGTTATGCGTACAATGACATACACATACACGCTTACGCGGGTTATGTATTTTTTCTGCAACAGCTGCGACATTAATTTCCGTACTAACAACCAAAGACAGCATTTAATTGTTTAACACACGACAGATGACAAATGCTTGACACTCTTTGATCAGAAGAGCTAACTTGAGCTCAGGTTAGTTTATAAGACCCAGCAGGTGAGAATTTATATCCGGCTTTGTGATAATCAGTAAAGAATATTCTCTATATTCTCAACATAATTGATATAACCCCCTCCAAAAATATTGACGGTCATTTGTTTTTCACTATTGCCCGGCAAAGAGAGTTTTCCCACATTTTTATTGATTTGGATTCTGAGTAGTACATTGACTTATTGTGATGTTGTGATACCGTCGCAAATTCCAAGAAACATGACGTCACAATATAAAAAACAAGTAACACAATCATTGCAAATTTTGCTAGTACTAGCTAAGTCTACAATCAAAATGCAGATAACCTTTTTAAAATTACAAATTACTATTTAATTGATTTGCAATGTTTCTTATAACAAAACAATATTGACTGTGTTTTCGGACATCATTGATTAGGATAGCGTCCTCAATCGAGACGAACATACTGCCCTCAGCTCTTCGTCGGGCAATATTTCATCCCTTGGAAGCTAACATAATCAATGTTGCCCTCAACCCCAGTCAATATTTGTATAATATTGGTGTCGTCAAACCAAGTCAATATCTTGTTCTCCACATTATGGTCCTTGGTAAAATAATTCATTTATAAGATTTCATATTGCACGGTAATATGTATGTGTCTTTAAATTGTGTATAGGCTCAGGTTCGTCTGGCTCTCTAGAAGATAGATCAAACCTATATTTTTTCTTAGTAAGTAAGTAACAAACATCAAAGATAGACCTCTGAAATGTAATTTCAGTCATATATACATTTTGCAACTTGATTTTTGTATTCACTTGATACTTCACCTGAACTGGGGACAAACAGACTCCCGACTTGTGATGACATGTCTGGCTGACACACTCTGTGCTACAGGTCTCTTTACAATTGAGACCCCAAAACCTTCGTCTACAAGCTAAAAAAATATTTCCAAAAAAAAAATCCGATCTATTACAGAAAACACATTTTAAATTGAGGAATATGTGTTCAAAATGACGTTTTCTGATAAAACGATTTAAATTTTTAATTACTTTCATTACCATTTACACAAAGAGGTCCCTCGTAACCGGACGAACAGCCTTCGAAGCAAGTCCCATTGATATAGTGGCATTGTGTATTATTGAAACAGTGGCCACAGGTCTGGTTGCAAATAACACCATACAACCCGTCCTCACACTCTGCTAAATATTGTATGTTAATGTTATTTACTAAATAGAACAATGTAATCAGAGGTTGGTAATAGAGACTTTGATAGCACTGGAATTTATGGAAATAAATGTACTCTGTATTTACCAATACTTACAACCAGTGCTTTAGTTTGAATATTCTGCACCAATCATTGCATTAATTAGTTTTTAAAGACTGTCCCTTTTAAATAATTGATAATCCCCAACGTACACAAACGTACCCTTGATACATCGTGGCTCTTTCCATCCCGGCTGACATCCCCCGTCACACTCCCCAGTAAACCTGTTACATCTATTGTGTATGGCACAGTTATCACTGCATCTATATCTACAGTCCCTGCCATAGTATCCCGGCAAACATGCTGAAATTATATAAGTGTTGTACTTTGCATGCATTTGCCTAAATAGTAGTCATGGTTTGACACGTGGTGCACGAGCCGGAGGCGAGTGCACTATGTGTCAAACCATGACTACTATTTAAGCATAGTGCATGCAAGGTACAACACCATTGTTATTATTATTATGCTGCGCGGCTAGGATAAGGCTGTCCGTAAAATAACACAGTGCAACAACAGTTTTAACTTCTTCGAACTACCTAGATATTACTTCATAATAGCATATGACGTCATATTACTGCAAACTTAAGCTGACATGACGGGGAAAGTGTCATAAATTTTACACTCCTGTCTTACGACATGTATAAAGTATTATACGTTGATGTTGAATTCAGGGTCTGGACTGTTCATAAGCTTCAGTATAATGGTGAATACTTGCATTGACATGGTGATTCTCTCTCTTGTCTGAGATACAGCGCATTTACATGATAACAAAAAGTACAATGTAAAATGCTCCCCGTTACACGTCCGCAGACAGAGTGTATAAATTAGACTGGCACAAGTGATTAACAAAGATAAATTGAAGATATTCTGTGTGAATCTACAAGCGTAGTATGTTCTCTAATTGAATCTTGCTGGGGGATAATTTAATTTTTAGCCTTATTTTGTATAAATTGCTATAATGAGTGGAAAATACCCTCATATCTGTGCTTAAGATGAAGTTTTCATGAAATATTTACTATATAAATAACATTTAGTATTTCCCCCAGCACTTTATATATACAATACGATATGATTTATTGATTCATATAACAAAAAGTTCACAATAATTTTGTTTATCACTTATGCCAAGGCGATTTTTGTGCAACTTTCGGAAATATTATAAGTGACCGTCACGTGATCACCGACATCATGTGACATCAGAAAAATAGGGTGAGTTAACCATGCATCGGACACGAGTTGCCATATTACTAGCATTGTAAGGCCTTTCTAAGGCGATGTGATGCAACACATGTGTGGATCAAAATAGTCATTCAAATTTAACTAAAAGGTTAATTTTTAAATAAAAGATAAAAATGTTTCGATATCATTAATTTTAAAGCACCGAGATCAAGGTATGATTTTTTTCTTGTTTAAATATCGTGTGTCCGATGCATGGTGAATATTGTCCGATCCATGGTGAATTTTGACTTATTTCGTAAAAATCGGGTTTTAATGATATTTTCTCAATAAATAGCACACGGTTGTGTCAAAAAATTATATTTTAACCACATGATACATGTTAAGTTTCATTATGATAATATTCGGTCGTTAGCGATATCGCTAGAACTTGTTGAAGTGCGAGGGTGTCCGATGCATGGTGAATTCACCCTATGTTATTTTGATACCTGATAAAACACTCTTCGCAAGTTGGCTGTTCATAAATACAAAAGTTAGAAATTGGAATCTCAGCCCAATTAAAACTATATGTTTTAGTGCATTTTAAGTCTTCGGACAGCCTTATCCTAGCTGCATGACTGTTGTATGAAAAAGACAATATTTTCTCCATTTCCAATGTTTCATCAATGTATATCCTGTGACTGTCCGCTTACTATAATTCATATTCTTTTAGAATGTTCTGATTTTTCGCCTATTCGAAGTAGACTTTTCAATAATGTACGAACGATGCGTGAACTGTTTACAAATGTTAATGTTAATGCAGTTATAGATTATTTACATTAAACTGATTTTTACAGTAAAATCTAAAGGTACACAATGTAATTAATTTTTGATAAACACAGAGAGAGTTTTATTTTAAAATTTTAAAATATTTTTAAATTTTTAAGTCCGTCGGATGGGACGTTAAATGGTGCCCCGTGTCAAGGATTGCAACCCCCTTGGCACGCAAAAGATCGTTTCTCTGGTTTTCGGAAAAGAGTAGGCTCACTGGGGGCCGCCAGAGAAACCAAAAATCTTTCAAAACCGGTCATATAGAATTAATGTTCCGCCGAAATATGGCTGAAATATTGCCAACTCGGCGTTAAACCCTAATCAATCAATCAATCAATCACCTCCTACATTCATATTAGTACACCCCTATTATGAGGTCACGCTGTGCTACATGTACGTCATAACCTTTTTTTTTTTTAATTTTGAATGTTTCATGCATTTAGGTATAAAGTACAGATAGTTTCAAAGAAATTTAGTTGAGTATAGGGGGAAAAATTTCTAGAAACTATTTAAAAAAAGTAATTTGGTTTTTTTTTTCTTTAAGTATAAAATATTTGAAGTTAAGTTATATATATTATACAACAGTATTTTAGATAACGGCGTCTATGACGTAATAGGTAGCGCGTCGGACTGACAATCTCGGGGTCGTGAGTTCGATCTCCGGCGTGGGCGCAGTCGGATTTTCTTCAGAAAAAGAAGCCGTGCACTATTTCAGCATGGTATGCTTATGCTTTATAAATCTTTTGAACACTATGCGATAATAGTTGGGTAATGATTATATAGAGGCAAATTGACAGGAAGCATAATAATATGTAATAGTATTCATGAAATTTGAATAGCTAATCATGCTTGTTTGTTTTTAGATTTTCCAATTTTTAAATTTCTGTCATCTTTAAAAACAGACAAGTATCAATAATTAAATGAATGATATACAAATAAATATATACTTTTGTCACAAAGTGTTCCATACCATCCCCGTTGACACTCTCTTTCACACTCTCCAGTAAACCTGTCACATCTGTTTGGTACACCACAGTTATCACTGCATTCATATCTACAATTCTTCCCATAATATCCTGGCTGACATGCTGAATTTTAAAAAAAAAAAAAAAGAAAAAGAAAGAAAAAAAGAAAAGAAACTCCTGTAGGAGGAATCAGAATTTTAGCTCACAAGTAATAGCTCTTTGTTAACCTTAATTCAGTTCTTAATTTTTATTACATGATTTTCAATTCATTATTTGCTCAACATCCCTAACTAAAATTTACTATTGTTAACTATACTTATAAATACTTCGATTTGCCGTGAAACTTTACTCTGTAACTTTTTCCGATTTAGGGTCTTAGAATCACATTAATTACACACCAATGATGTAATTTTTTTTGAAATAATATGTGGATATACAAGTACTATTTCCTTTAAATATAAAGAAAATTGCATTTTAGTTTTAAGGAAAATGAAATATTATAATTTGAAAATCGTTGAAAAAAGTATTTATCATTAGTAAAAACATTGATTTACTATAGTGAAAACTTTGATACTTTAGTGAGGTATAGTTACCTATAGTATTTTATTTTAGGGATTGTTCTACGCATATTTATATAAGCACTACTATTTATTTGGCAGAAAGTACAATATATGTATTCGGAAAATCACATTTCTAAAGCCTCTGATTAAGCTAACCAATTCTTTATTACATATCAATATGTCATTGTCATAAATACGTTTATTAAAACATTAAACTGGGAAACAAATAAAATTGATTAGATTAAAGAACCAAAAGACAGACTGATAATTTAACGTGGATTTTAAAAAAAACTGTATAAACTACGCACTATGGAGGAGTGAGCATCCCCCGCCAACCGGTCACACCCTCCGTGTGCTCCTTGTTATGATCGGGAAAATAGAAAAATCCGTAGAAAACTCAGTGTGTAAATAATGGCGTAACAATTGGTATGAAAAACATCAGTTAGCCTTTGACTTAATGGTGGGTTGTATTTGCTGACAAGGTCATTGTATCGACCATTAAACTTGCGAAATAATGACTTCAAATGAGATTATTGATATCCTTGCTTCATCAACTTGTTTGTCAATCGCTTGCCTCGTTTAAGAAATTGTTCATACGCAGAGCATGCTCTTGCCTATCGAATCAACAGGGAGACAAAAACCCCATATGCAGGTGATAAGGGTATATCGCTACACAAGTACATTGAAAGGGAGGTTGACGAAGAAAAATTGAAGTCATCACATTTGTCATAAAGCTGTGTTGTTAGGTTACCATTCATTAATGTCTTTTTCTAGTAAAATATCCAAATATAAGACAGATGTGTTAGACTCTGTATTAGACTGTGTTGCATCTTTTATTTCAAGCTCACTGATCGAGTCGACATTTAAATGGAAGTAACTATTGTTAATTGATAATATGTTGTCGATATATCTAAATGTCAAGTTAGGTTTTCTTCTTTACATGTAAACATTTTTGAATTAATTCTGCTTCATATGTATACAAAGATAGATCTAATAAAGGGGGGGGGGGCAATTGGTACCCATGGGAATTCCAACAGATTGTTGGAAGACCTAATCTCCAAAAACTACATGAATTTTCTCAATCAAGAACTCAAGCATCTTATTAATATCAACCTCAGAGTACTGTGTTGTACAATCAGAGTATATTTAAAAAAATAATTTTACAAAAGATCAATGACAAGGTACGAGGGGTGATCAAAAAGTTCGCGAACTATCTCTATATTTACAAAACCACAATTCAGATCAGGAGGAAATTTGGCACACATATAGTCATACACACTTTCTATAAATAGCAGGTGATATGTAATGTTTTTTTTCCATGTTTGTGACGTCACAATGTGAAAATGACGTCAATAGGAAGGTGACATGTGACAAAAAATGGTTGACTCAGTCGTACTCTAGCAACGAAGGGCTGTAAAGTTTAACGTATATTTTGGAAATCCCTTTGCAATAGCATATAATTATTTGTACAAGGTTTTTGAAGACAAAAGACTTGCTAGAAGTTCGATCATTAATTGGATTGATTGTTTTAGTGAAGGAAGGAAGATGGTTAAAATGATGTTTGTTCTGTTGCCCAGTGAAAGCAAGCTTGGGAGGAGATGTGTCCTTAGTTGAGCAATTTGTTACGAAAGATCGCAAAGTTACAGTTTGAAAAAAAGTTGAATATTTTAACAATAATATAATTATCAAATACCTAAAATATCGTTTACTTTAGACTTTAAACATGTCAGATATGATCAAAAGAGAAGGCGCCCATATTTTATCCACATTGGGAAAACGACGCTCCCAAGAC